TTTGGGGGCCCCTGGGCTGCAGCCCACTCAGCCCTCCCCTAAATCCGGCCCTGAACTACGATCAAGCCAATGTTTCTTAATATAAAAGCTAAGTTAGGAAAATGTTTACATGTGAGTAATGACAAGTTAATTTGTAATTAGGTAAAAAATATAAAACTTAAAAAATCAATAATATTTGAATATTAAAAAACATAAAACTTAATAAATATACATTATATAAATATTGCAAAACAAAAATATTATTAATTCATAACGTTTTAATTTTTTGAAACATTTAATTTGACATCACAGTCAGTTGGGTCGCAAATGTATATAAACGATTTGTGATCGCCATTTATAGTATTCGATTGTCACTGTCCGATTTTGAACCGTATATCGAAGAGTTTATTCGTTATTCCTGTATATTCTTAATATTATTTATGTATAAATAGATTTATTAGTGCTTATGTCTTGCACATCAACTGCATGCTATCTTTCATTTCCCATCCTAAATTAAGCAAAAACTAAGGATTTTGCACTTTATCTGTACCTTGTACTAAGTTTAACAGTGAATTTTAAACATTTACGGAAGACTGCTTTATGTCAGCCATGACTGCTGATATCTAATAACTCACTGATCATCTCTTATAATTTTTGTTTATTGATACTTTCAATAAATAATGTTATAGAAACCAATAGTTATTACTGTGGTTATAACTTTCCTTGAGAATGTAGATCATAAGTCTTTTGTTTTTAGATTTGATATTTAGGCGATCATAATATTAATTAATTAATAATACATTTTATCATTCACTCAATCAGTGTTCCACCTCCATTTTTATTTAAATATGATTTCTATAAAGGATGAGCATCATGTCCTTTAACATTAACTTTTTCGAAAAAATAAAATTGTACATATATATATATATATTTTATTTTTATTCTCATTATCTCTAGATTCTTGAAATACAATATTACATTCATTACAGTTTTGTTATTAATATAATGAAGTTTTAAATTACCAGAATATTTGTATTGAAATGAAGGAGTTAAAAATAACATTTAACAACTGTTTTAACAATATATTCAGTAAAAGTAAAATAGACAAATAATATAATATAAGGTGGTAATAATAATACAACGACAATGACAATATAACAATAATAATGACTGTCTCCCAAAATTAAAAAAAAAAAAATTCACATAGCCGTCTGTTATTTTGTAATACTTCATCAGCGTAAATTTAAAATGTTTTACCTAACATTAAAATAAATTATTACACTAAATTTTAATTTTAATTTCAATTTCAAAAATATTATTTATGGACATTCTAAAAGATTCAGATCCAATACCGTAAATAAACACGTAGCTAGGTTTTTAATCGTGGGAGGAGATTTTATTAAAATATTACCTTTTTTATGAAGTAATATCAAGTTTAATTTCACATAAATAATGTAATTTTGACAAATTTCGGAGAATCTACACCACATTTACCCTACTAAATACCTGTCCGGCAGTAAAAAATCCTTAACCTTTCTTAAACAACTGAAATACCATTCGAAATAAAAGGGAGTTGTAAGTTGTACAACCTTGTTTGTATCTTTTAGATTTTGACTGATAACTTTATTAGTTGAAGTAATACAATTATCCCTTAAGTTCTAGTATAGTTAATAGTTAATACCAGATAGATGGATCATTCAGAGAAAACAAAAACACCCTAAATTACTTTTGTGCGCGTGTTCACGCTATTTACAATAAATTACTCTACCTGATCTCCAAATTGATTGCATGGAAAAGCAAGAAACCTCAAACTCTTTTTATGAATATTTTCATTCAACTTGTTAGGTTTTTGGTAACATTTATCAGTATAACCACATTTAGATACTATGTTTACAATAATAAGCACGAACCCTCAAAAGGTTTTCGACTTTCTTTAGTATACAGTTTACTGTAAAAAAAACTAGTTAATTTATAATACTGACTTGTATTTTTGAAATGATATTTCTTATAATCCCTTATTTGATTTGGCATTAAATTCATATACAGATGTTGCATTTTTCCACTTTTTCAGCAGTTCAAGTAATATATAATTGTGTCTAGTAATTATTAGATTTAATAATTGCCGCAAAATGATAGTATATTTTACAAATCCTTTACTTTATATGGCGGCTAAATAACTGAAGATAATTTTTGAATATTGATTACCTTGATAGTTATTAATATAATCAAAAAAAATTTATTAATACTTAAGACTAAGCATACTTTAGATGGTGTTAATCCACAATATACCTAAAGTGTTTTAAGTGTAATAGTACATCACAAAATTATGATTGTTAATGGTTGGAAAATAATGAATAGTAACTATCTAGCCTTTCGACAGTTATTTAATGGACATTCAAATAGTAAAAATATTCGATAGTTATCCAAACTATTCAAACAGTTTTATATAGTATTCGATAGTTATATTCAAAAATTTTAAAACTATTTAAAATAGTTTTTAAACATAAGTTTATGTAAAATTTTTTAGGTATTTGATAGCTTAGGCTAAAAATAAATTATTCAGTTGTATAAAAAATATCCTATAATGCACATCACTAATAAATATTTATTTCTACGCAATGATTTAAAAATTCCCGTGTTGTCTAAAATATTTGTTCGAATGCAATGTGATAGTATACGGGTTAGTTAACGTTCGCTTTCTGTAGTCTCTAATTCATGCAGGAGAAGGAAGCAGGGAGTGGACTGTATAAAATGAGTAAAGGTATTGAAAGTATATAAAACAATTAACTGTATTTTAACATATATCATAAAATCTTATATATATATATACTAATAGGGTAGGGGGAACACTTAACACTAATGCCACACTGGCGTAAAGACAAATAAATAGTAATATAAGTAAAAGTAATAACATAATGAAAATAATTAATTACTTATCAATTACTGTAGTTTTGTAAATTACACAAATGAACTGAATGAATAACTTTGCCATCAAATGGTGAATACAATTCATTAACATCAATGTGGTTAATCGCAAGACAATGATATGGCGATATACATGGGTACAGGCGAATTCACTATATTTGCGTACTAAGGTACACGCGAATCGCTAGGGCCATTGTCTATATAAAAAAAACCCAGCACAGGGAGGTCGCAGCACAGTGATAACGTAGCATAGTTGTATCAAGTATAATTATATCTGACAGTGATTAAAACCACTATCCTAAGAAACGCTTCGATGCAAATCATTAGATAGTGTTTAATTTTAAAAAATTGGTGGATTATTCCAAAAGCTACATGATCTGCTAGTTCCTTAATTATATTCTGATTAAGATAAAGTATGTCGAATGAAAAATGGATTATTAAAAAATATTATTTTTCATAAAAAATTGTGTTGATCCATACATTTTTCAATATGTTATAGCATTATAAACTTAAAAATGTAAAAAATAAAATCAAGAATTTTCACACAAAAATAGCATTCGGTAGCCATTTTCACCGTGAAGATAAAATAAGTCCAAAATTTTTTTTCCTATAATAAAGTGCATTACATTAGCTTTAATTTACGATATATATAAAAGTGTCAGACTTTCCGGAACACTTTCAAAAGTTAAGATGAAAAAGTAAATTTTTTGTGAAGAAGTTGTCATTTTAAATCCTCTCCTGTGGGCAGGTAAAGAGTCAGATTTATAAAAAATATATACCAAATAAAGAGGAATGATATCATGCATCTATAAAAAAAAAAATTTATATTGATTTGGCCATTTTTAAAAAAGTTATGGCAATTATAAGTAAAAAAAATTGAAAAAATTAGCGATTTTTAAATTTGTAATTTTTTTGGAGGTTTCCCCCATTTACGGGGAACGAGGGAAATTTTTTCAATTTTGAAGGGTAATGTCTTCGACTAGATACGATTTGTGATCTTTTGACGTATCGTTGAAAGAAATCCGTTCGGTGAGAGCTGAGAAAAAGTGGTAACAGACACAAAAAAAAAAAAACATATCATAGTAAAATCAATACCTTCTCAGCTCCGCATCGAAGCTAAATAACTATTATGCATAAAAAGGCATCATAGAACACTTTTGCGAGGGTCAAAATGGTAACAGCAACACATATACTGCGACTCAAAGGATTTATACACGATATCATAAATCGACCGTGTACGTAATCATACAACGTAATGATTCTCTCATACAACCGAAGGTGGTAGTGCGAGTGGCGTTATCAGTCATAACAAAAAATGTAAGAAAACACCCTCTTGTAACTGCATATCCAACATACTTTTCTTTTTTTTTTTCATAGCTGCCTTGTTGGCCATTTTAGTATTAAATATTGATATTTAATAATGATATTTATATTAATGATATTTTATATTTATTTTTATTTTAATATTTAAGCCTTGTTTTGTAATTCTTTTAATTTCTTTTAGTGTAAAGACCACCCTTAATCTCTTATACAGTCCATTCCCTAATTCTTTCTCCGTGAATAATTAAACAATGGAACCTAACGTTAACTAACTTGCACATTATCACCGGGTGTTGTGTTCAAACAATATTATTTTAATATACAACTAATTTTGATAATTTAACAATATTCTTATTAAACTAAAATCAAAATTATCTTTACTTTTTAAAATAATTTATTTCTAAGGAGAAAATCACTCATATAATTTGTATAAAATATGTTACAAAAAATGTTCACAATTCCTTTAATTATACGAGTAAATAAGTGGAACATAATGAATTAATCATTCTGTAGATTTTTTTGTAGGTTTAATTAAATTTTTACGTAGCACTTTCTTTTCTTAGTTCTTCAAGAATTTATATATTTGACACGAATTAAAGTACACGTAGAAATAACAAATTTCTGATAATATTTATATTTTATTTTATTAATTTATTAAAATTACTCATGTTATATTTTTAGAATGATATTGTTATACAAAATGTGCAACAAAAAATATTTTATTTCATTGTATATGATTTGAAGGAATTTTAACTAACGGAGTTTAGTAACACAGTTAATAATTAACTGAATAATGAATTTTAAATATTATATTTTATTATTTTTATCATTGAATGTAATTCTATCAGGTTTTTGTAAAGTAAATTTACTTTACAAAATGTACGTTACTAATGTATTAAATCATATTCGAAATGAAAAAACATGGGAATCTTTACAACACATTTATGTTAGGTATACAGAAATGGAAAATGCAAATGATTTCAGGGATTTTCAAAAACCAGTTGAAACATCTTCAGCTGCATCGACACTCAAATTCATGATGTGCATATTGAATTATAGGTACGGCGAAATACTTGAAATGTTCAATTTGATTTTAAGCTATGCTATAAATTATTGTCAATGGACTTTTGAAAGTCAACAATATGATAATTTTGTAAAATGTACCCAGCAATTGTACGAAGCAACAAATAATTCAAAAACAATGTTTAAATGCTTGTATGATGCTATAGAGTTTATGAGTAATTTAGATTTCAAACTTATAGACAATACAATCATCGGCCCAGAGTCTATTGTCCATATTGTAAAATATTATAAGGACTACATATTGGTTATCCCAAATACACTGGAATTTATGAACACTGATCAAAAGTCAGACATCTTTGCAGCATATAATGTTTTTTTTTGCATAAAAAATTTTTATGAAATATCTTCACAAAACATGTATATCCTTCATGGTATTGTTAATAAGTATAGTGGTGTATATGAAAATGAAATACCAAACAAGTTAAGAATAATCTATAGAAATTCAAATGAAATTAAAGAATTATTACAACATTGTATTGTTATGAGTAATATCTGTGACGATCTTAACTCACTGTACAAAAATGTTATTGAAAATGAAATCAAGAACTACAGATTTGAAGAATTGTTGAGCCCTAAATCAATTGAGTATAATTAACAATTAAATTTATTTTGACTATTTTACAATTGCATTGACCAGATGTAAAAAAATTATTTTTAAAATTTAATTTTTAATGGCCAGTGGCTTATTACAGGGTCATTAAGTAGGATGAAACCTAAAGACAAATTATTTTAAGGAAGTGTTATTTAAATTTTTAAATGTTACTCATTCAAAATAGTGGACGGGGCTAAAAAATTAATTTAGGACGCAAAAATTATAATATGTTAATGGTTATATTTACTATATATTACATTATTTTTGAAACCAATTTTTTTAATCTTGTTCGAATGAGTTCAAAATTCGCTTATTGAAAAGTTATCTTTTGCATTCATAGAAACAAAGTAATCAGAGATTTTCGTTCAAGTCTTATTTTAAAGCTGTAATTGGCAATTTTACTCAATAAAGTAATCGGTGTTTTTCAAGCGACAACAATTTTATCAAAATAATTCTTTACTTAATTCCTTGTTATTATTAATACTTTGTGTGAAAATATTGCTTTAATTTTATACTTTTTTTATGATTATAGATTAACGTTTTATATTGTAAAATAAACACGAAAAACTTTAAATTTTACAAGTTTTGAAATGCTTTAGAAATGTAACAACAAAACATTAAAAAAATATTTTGCAACAAATTATCCTATATTTTCTCTATAAATTGTTTATCTTGATTTTTTAAACATTTCTAGAAATTTTCAAGAATTATTATTTTAATAAAATAATAAATATTTGAATTTGGTGATATGATAGCAGTAAAAATTTCAAATAATTTTGTTCATCTGTTGTTGCTTGTTAAAGTTTAGCGATTTTTGACTAGTTTTCTATGACAATTTGACGTTTATTATTATTATTTTTTATTATATTATAATATAATATAATTATATTACAATATACATGATATATTTAAGATAAAACAATATATACAAAAAAAAAAAAGAAAAAGCTTCGAAAGTCTTGCTGAGAGTCCAACCAATGAGACCAATCCTATTAACATTAACTTAATACAACTTTTATATTACATAATTAACGGCGAAGCCTATTACAAATATAATAACATTTATAACTGAAAGAGGTCTCTACACCAAGATCTTTTAAGTCGGTGAGGAGGGTTATCTGGGATAGAAAGTGAGGATAGATTTTTAAAAAGAGGATTTGGATGATTTTGGAAATGGTTGTGAAAATGTTTATAACGAGAGATAGCAATTTGTTTTATAGTAGTAATGTGGAGGTCTTTATGAATTATTTCGTTTGATATATAAGGTGGACGTTAAGAATTTGACAAAGGCATTTGGATTGTAAAACTTGAATTTTGTTAATATTTGATTATTTTGCTACACCCCATAGCCCAATACCGTACGACCACATTAGGTTTGATAAAGCTTTTATATATTATGAGTTTAGTGTGCACGTTAGTTTTGGCAATTTTGTAGAGTAATGGTTGGAGTATTCTAAGCCGTTGGTTTACACTTATTATTTTTGCATTTTATGAATGTGTGGCGACCAATTAAGTTTACGGTCGAGGATAAGACCAAGATATTTAACTTTATTTGAAGAAGGAACAGAACTGTCATTAATTAAAACTTGGAGGGGATTATTATGACAAAGATTAAAAGTAATACGAGAGGATTTATTTTCGTTTAGCATGACTCGCCATTTCTGGCACCAATCGTGCATGCAGTTTAGGTGTAATTATAGTTGAGCAGCAGCAATGTTATGATTTTTATGAATTGAAATAAGTACTTTGTCATCTGCATAGTCTACCATCTGGGTATTGACAGTTCTTGGTTGGTCAGCAGTATAAATATTAAATAGTAAAGGAAAGGATATTGCACCTACGGGAACGCCACATTTTATTAGACGTAAATGGGAAATTTCTATACTGAATTTTGTCGCAAAGGTGCAGTCCTCCAGATAAGACTTATAGAAAAGGAAATAGGAAGGCGGAAAAATGTTACGAAGTTTGAGTAGAAGACCTGGATACCAGACTCTATCAAACCCTTGTGAGATTTCAAGCATTACAGAAGAACAATAAATTTTGTTTTTCGAACTAGAGGAAATCATATCAACCAAGCGATGTACTTGAAATATTGTGGAGTGTTTTTCTCGAAAACCAAATTGATAATTTGGAATAACGTTATTTTCTTTAATTATTACATTCACTCTCTTTAAAATAAGTTTTTCACAAAATTTAAAAAAAAAGGACAAAAGACTTACTGGTCTATACGAGGATGCAATGTCAGGAGGTTTATTATCTTTGTGTATGAGGATTATTAAAGAGAATTTCCATTGAAGTGGAAATTATGACAATCGAACAATGACATTTAAAACACAGCTCCACAAAAAAAATCGAATGAATAGTGCTAGTAAACAGACCATGTTTACTTTATGTTTGCGGGGTCACTGAATACGAATCTGAGGTTTTTTTGACGCCATCACGTTATGGTTTTTCATAACCTCAAAAAATGTGCCTAAGAACCAAGTAATTACTCTACTATATCAACAGGGCAATTTCTATACTAATACCATTGCCCTCACCTAGTATAGTATTAGCACTCAAGTATTGTGTGGTCATATTACTATATTATGCCAAAAGTACTCTCAACGTCAGGTCAGTCTAAATGATGTTAGGTTTTTTACAGGTTAAGGCTCTGTGTACAGTAGATTTAGGTTTAAAATTTTTCTGTCTTATTTCCTAATAAATAACTTGGTTCTCAAGCACATTTTTTAAGGTTATGAAAAACTATGACGTGATGGCGTCAAAAAAACCTCAGATTCGGTTCAGCGACCCCACAAACATAAAGTAAACATGGTCTGTTTACTAGCACTTTTCATTCGATTTTTTTGTGGAGCTGTGTAATATATGTCAATACAATTATTGCTTTTTTAGGGAGTTGTCGAGCAATTTCAGCAGTAATTAAATTATAACCTGGGGCTTTCTTAGGAGGAAAAGTACAAATACAATTTTTAACATCATTAGGAGAAAAGGATTTAGATAGAAGATTCATAAGTAAGGGTATAGAGAGTAAATAATTTAGGTTACTGAGTGACGCGTGTATTCGAATGTCGGTATGAGGTTGAAAATGTTGGCTGAGATGCGACCCAAAAAGAACTGCTTTGTCATAGTCATTTATAGCCAAGTTCGAGTTCCTACTTTTTAATGGAGATAAAGTAGTCCTTTTACGTGAGATAGAATTCGTGGCTTTTCATAGGGAACCATTTTTCACCGAAAGTGAAGAAGTGAATTTTTCAAAGGATTCCTTACGAATTTTGAAAATCATTTTTTTAATTTTTATAGTTAAATTATTGTATGTATGTTTGTCAGAAGGAAATTTAGTTCTTTGCTACACAGCTCTGGCTTTTCTTTTAAGTGCAATCAGGTCACGGGCATACAACGGAAGTGGTGTGGAATACAGTGCAATGGTTTTTTTTTAAAGTAGGAGTTAGATTATCTGGCAGCAGTTTGTATTAAGGATGTTAAGCTATTGGTTGCGTTTTCAAAATCATCATAGTTTTTGAGTTTAATATTTAAAGTTAAATTCGTATCAATGATGTTTCTGAATGTTTCCCAGCACGTGTTTTTATTTGTTAAAGTTAACGGGTTAGTGTGGATTGGAAGACTGGAGACTGATCATAACAGGGATCAAATAAATTTTTAACTGATTTTTTAATGTTACTTGGGATGTTAGAAACAAAAATATCCAGAATATCAGGACGTTTACTGTTAGATGTTGTCCAGTGTGTTGGACTATGAAGAGCAATAATAGAATATTTTTTGAACATGGATACTTGACTTAGGGAGATACCTTTGAAATTGTTAGAGTGACAACCCCAACTGGTATGTTTTGCGTTTAGATCATCTCCTACAGTAAAGTTATGGCTTCGTCAAGAGAAATAATCATAAAATTGTTCAACAGATATATTGTTTCTAGGAGGGTAAATAGCAGCAAAAGTAATAGGAATCTGTTTTAAAACAATTTGTATAGAGGCAGATTGTAAATAGTTTGCCTGAAACTTTGAGTTGGTATTATATTTTATAGATGTTTTAATAATGATTGCAGCAACTCCTCGAGTTGAGTTGCTAGGGTGATTTGTGTATGGGACTTGATAGCCAAGAAACGATATTTTTTATGTATTAGTAAGTGGGTTTCAGATGTAAAAGTAGATAAAATTAGATAAAATTCATTTTTGCGGCTATATAAGCCATTTGTATTCCATAGTAAGATGAGAAAAGATTTTGAGGTTTGTGGATTATTAGACATTATTTTTTGATAAAAGGTGATTTAATATTGTAGTCAAGAGGAAGAGTAGTAGATTTATTAAAACTTTAAACTCATTTAGGAAATCTGAGAATAATTTATATTGATCTTGAGATCAAGAAACAACAGGAGAATTGGCAGTTATTTGTACATAGGATGGTGTATTATTTTTATTTAAGTTAGATGAAGTTACCTCCTTATTATGAACAGGTGAGACTTGTGTGGGTGTACTCTAGGCTGAAGATTTTGATACGACTTAAACATCCATATACGTTGGAAGTCCTTGTAAATACGTCAGCCCTTCTAGTTTGCTGGGTGATCGTTTTGGCATAAGACACTTTTGGCAAGAGTATCTCTTGGTTTTTCACATACTGATGAAGCATGATTTTGGCCACAGCGAAGACTATAAGCACAATATTTTCTTCATATCACATGAACAATTTTTTTGCTTCGATTTGAAGCTAAGAAGATATTAATTTTACCATAATGTAGGCAGATAAATGGTCAGAATTCCAAAAAAATGTATGCAAAATAAAAAAAAATTATCTAAGGATTCAATATAAAAAAAAATAATTTTTCTTCGTAAATTTTGATTATAGTTATGGCACTTTTAAGTATCAAAATATTAACACATTAAAGAGTGATTTTTAAGTAAAAAATGCATTTTTTGTCCAATTTCCCCATAGAAGAAAAGGTGTCAGAGAAATTTACTGAGAAGGTATTAATTTTACT